TTAGGTGAAAGTTTGACACAATAATGAAAGAAAGAATCGGTCCAAAAAGACAGACTTTTCACAAAGTATAATTTACCATAATCATTCATTATGACACACGTACCAGAAACTCATACCTTACAATGACATGTTGTTCAATTATGGCATTTGAATACATTAAAAATCAGTAAGATTTATTTTTGATGCGACGGGGCTGCCGATTCCTGCCATCAATTCTGTTCATTGATATTTGACATATATCAGCTGAAAAGGCCGTTTTTAATGTATTTTCTTTATTGTTGATGCTGCACTTTACATGAAATGGATCGGCACCTGTGGTATAGCGGTTAAACTCCCCGCCGTCGTGCGCAGAAGACTTGGGTTCGATGTCTGTATGGGGAGAACTTTTATCGAGTATCTACGACAGTCTGCCGTGACATTGTACATGTATCCCTTTCAGCCCGGAAGCGTCCTGACAGGCAGGGTCGAAACAACTCGCCCCCCAAAATTATCTAAGTAAATGATGACGATGGGAGTGTTAAACAACTGCAGGCAGTCAAACAATCAGTAATAGAGACACTGGATCTACCCTTTAATCACCTGGCTAAGTGCCACGCCATCAAAATCCAAATGACGGATTTGAGCCTGTATGGCATTTACTCACGCAAAACTCCAGATTATGATTATAATATGATGACAAAGACTACCCATTATTATTTTGGCCTTACGACAAATCATTATCTTTCCTGATTACCAGTTCAAACATCTACACCCACGCCATCCTGACCCCCCGAGCCATTAGCCCCCAGCTGTAGTCTCCTGGTCCAAGATCTAAAACATTTTATCTCCTCATCAGTTAAGGGACTCGTATACCACTTTCGCTTTAAGACTACCTCATGACGCCAGTATATCAACACCGGCAGACATCTTTGCTGTCATTACTTATGTAAACGAGGATCTCTGTTTACACGTGGAATATTGCGTCATCAGTTTTGTCGTTGATTGAGGACGAGGTTCTGGTAGCCTATGAAATTGTTTGTTTGTTTGTTAGAACTTCTTTTTGCTCTTTATGCGACAGAAAGTATGATCATGATGTCAAACGGGGAGGAAGTGAAGTCTGTGTTGACTTTCGTCCTCTTAACATTCCCCCTCCCCTCCCCCTTAATTCCTTCACACTTCAAAATAACGGCCAATTTCATAATAGTCTGTTCAGGATTTCCAAATAGGTTTCTCAGGATTTCCCCCCTCCTAGTTTGCCTTCTAGTCATCCAGTGGGAACAAAAAACTGCATTTATTTGTCGCTTCCGAGTTGTCAATTTATGTTGATTTAGAAAAGAAAACAAAGCATACTGTCAGAATCGCTAAATGAAAGAAAAAGAAGGGTCATCTAGTGATGCTCTCCAGACCTGCACGACACGGCACTTTAGAGAATGATTGATTATGACTGTAACTCTTTAACGCCCGCATCGACACCATTTTGATCGCTTTGTCGCCGGGGTTCTTCGACTCTCCATGTAAGGTCAAACCAGGCTGAGAGTGGTACAACGTCCCAGCAGACAGACAGAGATACTGACAAAGCCCTTACCCCCCTCCTCTCCTTTTCCAGGGGAATGGAAATCAGATCTTCTACGTTCGCCTATATGCTTCATCACAGACACCAGTCTCCTGATCTGTTGAGAATGACGACATGTAGTACGTCAGTAGATATATTCAGAGCTGGTGTCGTACTTTTTCAGGAGGAACTACCCTGATTTATACCCACAATAAATCATCCTCCAATTCTCCTTGATGGAAATGGGTTTGTGTTTCCAGTAAAAGTCTAGTTGAGGTCACCCTTCTCATTAAACTGAGTTAAAATCACCGTTCTCGTCGGACGCCGTGGCTACCCCATTGTTGCCCCACAGAGGGTGGAGACCCTGTATGTGCGTTGTAGGTCAAGTAAGTTCCGAATGGAGACCTCAACTAAGGCTGATTCTAAGTTATACCCAGTTTCTCTTACTCAGAAGCTCAGACCTATCGGAGATGGACATTGTATCGTAGATCACCAAAGTGAAACATCCGGCTCCTAGCGTCTTTGAGACCTTGCTGTGTGTTGAAAGTGACCATACGAATTTACAGACGAACACAATGATTAATACGAGTATCTATATCTATATCAAACATATAACTGAGAGAAACGGTGAAGGCTCAAAGTAAGTCTCAGGTCGTTGGCCGTATATCTTGGATATTAAGTCATCATCATATCATCGAGTGCCTCATCTGATGCAGTCATACCATACCATACCATACCATACCATACCATACCATACCATACCATACCATACCA